TAGGCTTGCAAGGGTCAATTGATCCATCTTGCCCCTATGTGGATCCGGCCTTGACGGTATGGCCAATCAGATTGTAAAAAATGAGATTCATGGCTCGCTGGTACGTTGCTCTGACATTTTTGAGCCCAAATGGCATGACAACCCATTCATAGGTTCTAATTGCACCTAGGCATCTGAACGCCTTTTTGTGAACGTCATCCTCGAATATAAAGATTTGATTGTATCCAGCATGGTTGACCATGAAGGAAAGAACTTCATGTCTCGAAGCTCCATCTATCAAAAGATCAGCCATAGGCAACGAATATTCATCCTTGGGGGTGGCTAGGTTCAAGTTATGATAATCTGTACATACTCTTAAGTCACCAGTTTTCTTCATTACCGTAACAATATTGGCAAGCCATTCTACGTATCGAGAAATACGTATAAAGCCGGATTTAAGAAGCTGTTCAATTTCTTCTTTTACCTTTGCTTGGACCTCGGCAGAAAATCGTCGTGCCAGTTGTTGGAAAGGTTTGAACCCTTCTTTAATCCTTAACTCATGTTCCACTAGACCTATTTGTAATCCTGGCATCTCGTGGTAACTCCAAGCAAAACAGTCCTTATACTCATGAAGTAGATTTACAACTTTGTTCACTCAACTTAGGACTTAAAAGCACACTAACAAAAAGAGGTCGTGGATCAACCTTAGTTCCTACATTGATCTCCATTAATGGATCTTGAACCTCGGGACGACTGTCCTCCATCTCTGCGGGGGCTGGGTCGAGGTCTTCAATGTTCAAAACTTCTCCATCTCCGGTTTCTTGTAAGAACTCGATCAAGTTCATGGCCGAGTTCGGCTGTGGTGACTCCTCGGTCCATTGCTGCAGCATTCGCTCCCTCAGGTAGGTGATCGCAGCTTCTCATTCCTCTCTTGTTGTGGTGTCACTCATTATAAAAACTTGTTAAGTCTATCAACACCTTATGCGCCGAGTCCTAAAGAACATTTTCGGCGCATAACTCAAGAAATTTTTTGACCGAGATCCTTGTTGGTCAGCCACTTGCATCATGTCCAATGAAAGTGATCTAGCAAACATCATCGCCATATATCTTGGCATGTACGGAGTGAACATGAAATGGCTTTTTGTCTGCTGGGTGAATTGACACTTCTTTGTCGTCCTAAAAGAATAGTAGTTGGAAAATCGAGGAAGGTATACAATTTTTTTGGGTCTTGGTCGAGTAGCATGTTGTAGTCGACGTTTGAGTCAACAACATAGAATGCCGCTATTCGTGTTTGATTGGCCATGGTTATCTTTAATGGCAACACTCCCTTGGTATTGGTTTTGTCACTGATGAAATTGCTCATAGTGAACCCACTTAGGATGAGGTCCCTCTCGATTTTGCTCAACTTCTTCATCATTAAGGATGGGAGAATATTGACCATGGCTCCGTAGTCAACGAAAACCTTGGATAATGACATTCCCTCAACTTGAGCTATGATATATAGTGATTTGAGATGACGATGTCTGTTTGGCCCATTCATGGGGATTATTTCCTTCAAATCCACTGCTAGGAGGTCCTCTGGTGATCTTGGAATGGAACTTGGGCCAGGCAAAATCATCACCATGTTGATATCCACTTCGTCTAAAACTGAGGGGTTGTCAACTCCTGCATCGTCTTATTCTACAAGAAAAGAGTATAGCTCGTTAAGTTCAGCCGCTTGGAGATCCTCGGTCGAGTCCTTCTCAATCGAATCTACTTCTTCCATTGCGAGTTAATATTCCTTCTCTTCGAGCAAAGAATCTTTGGCCATCTTGAGTTCTGCAGTCACATCCTGATTGGTCGAACTCTCTTTTGGTGTTGAGTTGTCTTCCATTCTCGATTTGTCGGCCATGTTTGGTCGTTCATCTACTCATTTTTTCATTCATTTAGCCTCGCACTCTAAAACCTGCAAAGTTTCGAATCGAGAATCTCTAGCTTCTAAGTACTAACCAGCATGTTCACTCGGATCTTTTCCTCAAAGGCTAAGCTGAGCAAGGTGTCGGCCAGGGCCATTGAAAAATACTGTTGTAAGAAAGCCAAATCCCTCACGGTGATTGGGTCCTTTGCTTTGGTGATCAAGAGTCGTTCAGCCCGTGGATTCTTCAGTGCCAGCTTAACAGCTTTTTAGCTTCTTAGACCATGCCATTGAGATCAATGGCCGAATATATTTTGTGAAATTCCTTTAGGAAATCCAAGCCGACCTTGGAGAAGGAGGGTCTCATTTTGGGAAAACGTCGATTGTGTCTTTCGTGTCTAGGCTTGGATGAACTTCTAGTTTATGTTGCCCAGGGAATGGCTTGTTGGCCGAGTTTGTGGCTATTATTTGGGCCAAACCTACGTTCTGCTCCTGATTTTTAACTTTCCTAGGTAGGGTCAAGTCTGCCTTGGCGAATTGTACCCGCCTTTTGCAGTCTCCTGAGCTGGGTTTTCGTCTGAACCTCACATCTCCCTTTTGTCGTCGTATTTAGATACTGATGATCTGTCATGAACCATGTATAGTTTGAAAGTTCTTACTACCCGTGACGCAGTTCTGGAATTCTAGTCGTGTTCGGCCTCTCTTGTTGGCAAGTGTTCCCCTAGCCAGTCGAATACGTTTGTGTTTCAGAACGCTCGGTTCGGGTATGCTCCAACATGTTCTAAAACTAACCGAGAAGATTTCGCTACTCTTCTCTTCTGCTTCCTTGACTTCGATCGTTCCTTCCTAATTTCATCTATACATCACCCACAAAGTGTTGGTTCGGCCGATAACAACTTTTTCTTCCTTTTCCCTGATACGTCGGTCGTGGTCAGATCAACCTATGGCACAGGAGAATTGCTTCTCTAGGGCACATGAGTGAGGACGTGAACATCACCTCTTTTGGGCTCGACCTATGATGATTTCTTTCTTTTCTTTCACACGTTGGCCATGGCCAAATTGACCTTTGGCCTAGGAGAATTGCATCTCTAGGGTATCTAAGTGGGGAAGTGAACATCAATCATGTTGGTGAAGGCTTCAGGAAATGGCTCGCTAATTTTATAACTCAAAAATAATTTTTAAGTCGAAAGCCACAAAAACCCGTTTAGTTGGCTCATTTTTAAAAACACAAACCCAAAACAAAACTAAAAACATCGCCATTATTTTATTTTATTTTAAAAAAAATTGAGGTTTTGTCAATGGGGTCTAGCCCAGTGCAAAAGGACTTTGACTTGCAGACCAAATGTCTCAAATTTGGATCTTGCCTAATCTGATCCGATAATGATCCAATTTGATTTGATATAACATATATTTTGTTTTATTTTATTTTCACTTACTTATTAAGTTTATATATATATGTAACAATCTTGTGAATTTTTTTGTAAAGAAATAAAAATATTTTTCAATTATTTGTATATATGACATAAAAGAATTCGGATTGGGTTATCGGATAATTCAACAAATCTTATATGGATCTAGTTGTTAATGATCCGTTGAATTTTTGGATCAGATTAAGCCGAAATTTTTTTGAAATCAAGTCGAATAGGATTTCAGATGCTCTGCTCCATCTCGAACCGTTTACATGCCTACCCATCCCCATCCCTAATAAGAATTTTTGGGGAATCCTCATCGGGGGTCAATCTCCCAAACCCGTCCCAACTTCCAATTTACAAAAGAATATACATATTTATCATACATTATAATGCTTCAATTTTACTTTAAACTATCATTCAACTTATTTACATTCAATTGTGCTATAAAATTCAACTCAGATATTGCAATGACAAAAGTCCCACATAAAGTAGTCCCACATCAAACAATTATAATGAAAAGGAAACAAATAAAGTATTAGAAAAAGAAATGAAACGGAAAACAACCCAAATTTTTTTAAATGTTTACTATGCATGTTTTATTATTATTATTATTTTTTTTAAAAGAGAGTAAAAAACCTAGTTTTTTGGTTAAGGACCGTACAATAAAGTTGATAAATCCAAACGATTAGTACGAATACTTCCATTACACATTAAGAAGTTAAGTGCCTTAAAATATAGGTTTCCATCTTATCCTAGGTTAATTGTCAAAGATCCTAGTATTAATTATCAACATTAACAACCACTCATGGCATTGTTACTTATTATTATTAAAATGAAAATTGTATTGTCTCTTGTTCTATATAAACTCACGTGTTTCTTTCTGCATTACTCATTGAGATGTTGCCTGCAGATGCTTTTATGTTGGGAGGCTAAAAAGCATGTAAAATTCACATGTGAGTGAAGGGAAATGAAGGATGTCATAATTAATTTTAAAAAAAAGCATGATATCATTTTATTTCCTTTCAATTAATAATGTGATATTATTATGTGGGTCTATGGCTCTAAACAACAAAGCAAAAGCTAGGCTTTCCATAAACTTCAAATGGTAAGGAAAAGCAAAATCATAGAACAAAGGACACTTTAATCACTCTCTGTTGAAAAAAGTGTTGTGTGGGATCAATCAAGTGGCTCAAAGAATTTAAATTGAATGTTGGTTGGGTGTCTCTGATTATATCCTAAGCTATTTCCTTATGAACATTAACTTAATTATCAAGGTCAAAACTTTATTAGGACCCAACAATTTTTCTTACAATAATTTTCTTCTGTTGGGTCCAATAATACAAAGCACATAAGAACATTTTCCAATAATATAAAGTTTGGACCTTGAGATCATGAAAAATTTCCTTATGTGAGATTATTATATAATAATATGACAAAATGGATTTAATCCTGACTAAAATGTGGAGTCTTTTAATACTAATGATAGAGAATTGGGTATCCTTAAACTTGGGAGAGGAGATTGCCCTTCATCATTTCTTAATTAAAAGAAAACTAACTTTATGAGTGGGAAAAGTCAATTTCTGGGTAGTTTTCTTTTGGGATTTTCACAAAAAAGTAGGTGTAAAAAAAAAAAAAAAAAAGGAAGAAAGGTAATATTGACTGAACGTTTAAAGAGAGAGCCTTTTGCATATTCTGTGGTCCGTAAACAACCGATGGTAATTGTGCAGGTCTCAGACAGACACCCTTCAGAGGACGCACTTAAACCTCTCTCTCTCTCTCTCTCTCTCTCTCTCTCTCTGTTATAAGCAGCTTTCTATCTATATACAGCCAAAGAAGTGGAAGAAAGCCCGAGGAGGGAGAGAGAGCCTTTTCTTTACATATACTGGAGCTGATAAAGATTTTATCTTTTGGTGTTTTGGTAAACGGTAAGAAATATTTTATCTTTCACTGCATTTTCTTGGAGTTAATGATCATGTTGGTCTATGTTTAGTTTGCTTGCTGCAACATAGTTTTGAGACATTATATACTCTGGGTTTTTTTGGGGTGCTTTTGTGCTCAATATGTGCATGCATGCGTTTGTGGGTTTAAGTCTGTCTTTTTAGTCTCACTCTGAAGAAATTTCCCAGTTTTTGTTTCAGACTCTCTGTTGATTTTTCCGGTGACTGATCAAGACTTCCGTTTCTTTGGGTCTCGGTCCTTTACTATCTTGGACTATGCCGTGGGCTAAGAATTTGGTTTCTTGGCCTTGGGTCGAATTGTTTCGGCCCAAGCTTCACTGGGCCTTGGGTTCCAACCTGAGCCGAGTCTGTTGCCATGGTCGCGGGCCTTTAAAGCTGGGTTTGTAATCTGTTCAGTTGGGCCAAACTTGTGAAAAAAATGGGCCCACATCATGTCATTAATCCTCATTGGGCCCATATGGAAAATTTCTAGTGTAAACAAAGATATGGATATGTCGTTGAATTGCAATGAATATCAAACTATAATTAAAAAGTGGCCAAAATTGAACATTACAAAAAAAACAAAAAACAAAAATCGAATATTCATATCAACTATATAGAATATTTGGCCAAAATTATAACAAAAAAATAAAATAGATAAGGATCATTTGAATAATGATTCAACCCCTTCATTCCAGCATTAATAATTTGTTTGCTGGATGAAATCAGCAAACAACAGGCTGTATTTGACCTTAAAAATTATTGTTTTCAGCTTTTTTTGCGCAATTTGTCTCCTTGCTTGTTTCTCTCTTTTCTTTTCCTTTCGTTTTCTAAATATATTTCTTCATTTGTTATGGAAAAAAACCATGTTAGCTTCAGATTGCAAAGTAGTTCTAGGAATGTATTCAATGGAGAAGTTTGAATGGCAAGCAAAAACAACGAGTGTTGTCTTGGAATGTAGAACCAAAAACATGGAATTAATGTCAGGTATAGGAACTTAGGGCTAGTTTGGTATTCTACTTGGATCTAATTTTATAACTCAAAAATAATTTTTAAGTCGAAAGCCACAAAAACCCGTTTAGTTGGCTCATTTTTAAAAACACAAACCCAAAACAAAACTAAAAACATCGCCATTATTTTATTTTATTTTAAAAAAAATTGAGGTTTTGTCAATGGGGTCTAGCCCAGTGCAAAAGGACCTTGACTTGCAGACCAAATGTCTCAAATTTGGATCTTGCCTAATCTGATCCGATAATGATCCAATTTGATTTGATATAACATATATTTTGTTTTATTTTATTTTCACTTACTTATTAAGTTTATATATATATGTAACAATCTTGTGAATTTTTTTGTAAAGAAATAAAAATATTTTTCAATTATTTGTATATATGACATAAAAGAATTCGGATTGGGTTATCGGATAATTCAACAAATCTTATATGGATCTAGTTGTTAATGATCCGTTGAATTTTTGGATCAGATTAAGCCGAAATTTTTTTGAAATCAAGTCGAATAGGATTTCAGATGCTCTGCTCCATCTCGAACCGTTTACATGCCTACCCATCCCCATCCCTAATAAGAATTTTTGGGGAATCCTCATCGGGGGTCAATCTCCCAAACCCGTCCCAACTTCCAATTTACAAAAGAATATACATATTTATCATACATTATAATGCTTCAATTTTACTTTAAACTATCATTCAACTTATTTACATTCAATTGTACTATAAAATTCAACTCAGATATTGCAATGACAAAAGTCCCACATAAAGTAGTCCCACATCAAACAATTATAATGAAAAGGAAACAAATAAAGTATTAGAAAAAGAAATGAAACGGAAAACAACCCAAATTTTTTTAAATGTTTACTATGCATGTTTTATTATTATTATTATTTTTTTTAAAAGAGAGTAAAAAACCTAGTTTTTTGGTTAAGGACCGTACAATAAAGTTGATAAATCCAAACGATTAGTACGAATACTTCCATTACACATTAAGAAGTTAAGTGCCTTAAAATATAGGTTTCCATCTTATCCTAGGTTAATTGTCAAAGATCCTAGTATTAATTATCAACATTAACAACCACTCATGGCATTGTTACTTATTATTATTAAAATGAAAATTGTATTGTCTCTTGTTCTATATAAACTCACGTGTTTCTTTCTGCATTACTCATTGAGATGTTGCCTGCAGATGCTTTTATGTTGGGAGGCTAAAAAGCATGTAAAATTCACATGTGAGTGAAGGGAAATGAAGGATGTCATAATTAATTTTAAAAAAAAGCATGATATCATTTTATTTCCTTTCAATTAATAATGTGATATTATTATGTGGGTCTATGGCTCTAAACAACAAAGCAAAAGCTAGGCTTTCCATAAACTTCAAATGGTAAGGAAAAGCAAAATCATAGAACAAAGGACACTTTAATCACTCTCTGTTGAAAAAAGTGTTGTGTGGGATCAATCAAGTGGCTCAAAGAATTTAAATTGAATGTTGGTTGGGTGTCTCTGATTATATCCTAAGCTATTTCCTTATGAACATTAACTTAATTATCAAGGTCAAAACTTTATTAGGACCCAACAATTTTTCTTACAATAATTTTCTTCTGTTGGGTCCAATAATACCTCTCTCTCTCTCTCTCTCTCTCTCTCTCTCTCTGTTATAAGCAGCTTTCTATCTATATACAGCCAAAGAAGTGGAAGAAAGCCCGAGGGGGAGAGAGAGCCTTTTCTTTACATATACTGGAGCTGATAAAGATTTTATCTTTTGGTGTTTTGGTAAACGGTAAGAAATATTTTATCTTTCACTGCATTTTCTTGGAGTTAATGATCATGTTGGTCTATGTTTAGTTTGCTTGCTGCAACATAGTTTTGAGACATTATATACTCTGGGTTTTTTTGGGGTGCTTTTGTGCTCAATATGTGCATGCATGCGTTTGTGGGTTTAAGTCTGTCTTTTTAGTCTCACTCTGAAGAAATTTCCCAGTTTTTGTTTCAGACTCTCTGTTGATTTTTCTTCATTTCCTCTATGACGGTCAATGATGTCCTTTATCTTTTTGTAAGTTTTTTGTTCTTTGGCGGAGATCTTACATGGGGTTTTTGCCTCTTTGTGTTGTTATGCAAAATTAGCACTACCAAATAAGATCTTTACACTTGGGTAAAATCTTTCTTCTTGTTCCAACTGAGAACTTGGGTCATCTGGTTCTCTTTGTTCTTCATATTACAAAGTTCTGGAAATAAGATCTAACAGTTACATCATGCATAAACATATTCAATTTGCAATGGGGTTTCTCCAATATGTATGTTTTAGTTCTGGGAATCTTTAAAGTTAACAAAATATGGTTCTGATGTGTGGTTCATGTGGATCTTGCAGACTTCATTGGATGGTTATAAGCTGTGATCTGACACAGTTTCCTAGGACAGCCTGAGAAACGATGCCAAACCAGCTATGGTTTGCACTGCTAATGATTTGCAAGAGTGGAAAGATTTCCCCAAGGGCCTTAAAGTTCTTCTCCTTGATGAAGACAACAGTTCTGCGGCCGAGATAAAATCAAAGCTTGAGGCCATGGATTATATTGGTGAGAAATTTCTATCTTCCCTTTTTAAAAAAAAAAAAAAAATCATTTTTCTTCTCTTAAACAATCTTCTTTCCTGAACTAGAAATATTGGTTTCACCCTTTTCCCATTTCTTCATTAATTTTCCATGAGTATACTGGTACACCTTTTTTTCCCATTAAAGCATCTTATAATGATTCTCTATATAGATGGATTCTTGCTTCCGTTTGAATGTGGTTTTGGATTTTAGTCATATGGAGGTTAGAAAGGTACCTGACCATGGAAAAAGAATCAATTTCTTGCTCACTAAAGAAATAAATTAAAATCCCAATTTCATATTAATACTTTTGTGATCCAAATGTTGAAAAGTGGCTTTCAGTTTTTTTTTTAAAATTTTAAATTTAAAGGTAAACTTATGCTTTTCTTCCGATAATGATCCAATTTGATTTGATATAACATATATTTTGTTTTATTTTATTTTCACTTACTTATTAAGTTTATATATATATGTAACAATCTTGTGAATTTTTTTGTAAAGAAATAAAAATATTTTTCAATTATTTGTATATATGACATAAAAGAATTCGGATTGGGTTATCGGATAATTCAACAAATCTTATATGGATCTAGTTGTTAATGATCCGTTGAATTTTTGGATCAGATTAAGCCGAAATTTTTTTGAAATCAAGTCGAATAGGATTTCAGATGCTCTGCTCCATCTCGAACCGTTTACATGCCTACCCATCCCCATCCCTAATAAGAATTTTTGGGGAATCCTCATCGGGGGTCAATCTCCCAAACCCGTCCCAACTTCCAATTTACAAAAGAATATACATATTTATCATACATTATAATGCTTCAATTTTACTTTAAACTATCATTCAACTTATTTACATTCAATTGTACTATAAAATTCAACTCAGATATTGCAATGACAAAAGTCCCACATAAAGTAGTCCCACATCAAACAATTATAATGAAAAGGAAACAAATAAAGTATTAGAAAAAGAAATGAAACGGAAAACAACCCAAATTTTTTTAAATGTTTACTATGCATGTTTTATTTTTATTTTTATTTTTTTTAAAAGAGAGTAAAAAACCTAGTTTTTTGGTTAAGGACCGTACAATAAAGTTGATAAATCCAAACGATTAGTACGAATACTTCCATTACACATTAAGAAGTTAAGTGCCTTAAAATATAGGTTTCCATCTTATCCTAGGTTAATTGTCAAAGATCCTAGTATTAATTATCAACATTAACAACCACTCATGGCATTGTTACTTATTATTATTAAAATGAAAATTGTATTGTTCTATATAAACTCACGTGTTTCTTTCTGCATTACTTATTGAGATGTTGCCTGCAGATGCTTTTATGTTGGGATGCTAAAAAGCATGTAAAATTCACATGTGAGTGAAGGGAAATGAAGGATGTCATAATTAATTTAAAAAAAAAGCATGATATCATTTTATTTCCTTTCAATTAATAATGTGATATTATTATGTGGGTCTATGGCTCTAAACAACAAAGCAAAAGCTAGGCTTTCCATAAACTTCAAATGGTAAGGAAAAGCAAAATCATAGAACAAAGGACACTTTAATCACTCTCTGTTGAAAAAAGTGTTGTGTGGGATCAATCAAGTGGCTCAAAGAATTTAAATTGAATGTTGGTTGGGTGTCTCTGATTATATCCTAAGCTATTTCCTTATGAACATTAACTTAATTATCAAGGTCAAAACTTTATTAGGACCCAACAATTTTTCTTACAATAATTTTCTTCTGTTGGGTCCAATAATACAAAGCACATAAGAACATTTTCCAATAATATAAAGTTTGGACCTTGAGATCATGAAAAATTTCCTTATGTGAGATTATTATATAATAATATGACAAAATGGATTTAATCCTGACTAAAATGTGGAGTCTTTTAATACTAATGATAGAGAATTGGGTATCCTTAAACTTGGGAGAGGAGATTGCCCTTCATCATTTCTTAATTAAAAGAAAACTAACTTTATGAGTGGGAAAAGTCAATTTCTGGGTAGTTTTCTTTTGGGATTTTCACAAAAAAGTAGGTGTAAAAAAAAAAAAAAAAA